CAAGTTCTGAGTGCAAATCCTGCTGATGAAGAGGCATTCAGATATTAGACTGGCTGAGCTCTGACCTTCATGGTGGCCTGATTCACCTTCAGTTTGCCATGTGGAAAGAGGGTCCAAAGTTGCTCCAGTACATTTATGGTAATGTGAGTTTGTATTTGAATTGAACTCATGCTACCATCTCAGTCTTAAGGCAAGCTCTAGCTAAACTTGGGCCCTAGGCCACAGTTTGAACAAAATTCTCAAGCTAATCCTGGTCAATAGCTCTTGAAAAATCACATGAAAAAGAGACTTACTGCTTTTATTTCCAGAAATTTGCTCTTGGTAGTGGAAGCCATGGGAACCATTAGATCAATGCCAGGCACTCACTGAGTTGACAGCACATACAAATGACTTTTTGGTTACCCATATAAATACAGCCACTGTTGTGATACCTCAGTTACATTATTCGGGGTCTTAGTGATAACTACTTCTAGCTGTAGCTTCCACACGAAGACATACTTTTCCCCTGAAATCCTTACTATACACACAAGCAAGCTAAAATGTTTAATTTTGTCCACTGCCTGGAACAACTAAACCATAGCTCTGCTTTTGGAGACTTTTAGTTGCGACTAAGATCACACAACTGGCACTGTAACTACTTGTCTGGAGTGCCATGTAAATACAGAATAAGCAAAAAATCATTATGAAAATAATTGAATATCAACCATTTAAGGTATGTCGTTATATGAATTAGTGATAATTACCTGTCAAAACCCAAAAGCATAAAATAATTAACCCACAAATACAACATAAATATGGAGTAATTACAAAATTTCACCCACTATAATGATTGAGTTGTCCTTTAGCAGGTGTAATAAAACATGATGAATCAAACTCCGTTGGAAGAAGAGTACAGGAGTTGGTGTGTATGATGCAGAAAGAAAAAGGACAGTATTTGGCTCTAATTCTCAGCAGAATGCCACTGGAAGTCATACGCTTTTCGGCTATAAACTACATATACTAAATTTCTATTTTCCCCTTGTAGTAAATTGGTTATACTGAATACAGAAGACTGTGGTTCATGCTAATAACATCCTATTCACATAGCCTTTTATTAATGAGAAAAATGCTTATGTGAACGTGTCTTGCCCTGGATTGCATTTTGCTGCAGCAGTTAATACTCACAACAATTAAGAGATATTAATATCATGCTAACAAGGAAAGGGTCATGGAAAAAAAAATTAACCAGAATCCCCCCGCGATGCTCCCCCCAGGTGCCTGTCTCAGTGGTAGAAGACTGATTTTAAGGGTATAATACATTAGACACCCACCGTGTGCATTTCAAATGTATTTTTCTCACTAAGAACTATATTAATTTCTGGATTAAACCAGAGTACTTTAATCAGCAGCACAAGCAAAGCCTTGATTTACTCTGACACACAAATGAAGGGGAATATGAAGGGGTAGAAGATGGAGAGTGTCTGTCTCTTTTGCTTTATCAGACATCTGCTTCAGGAAGCTTGTGTAGATACAGGCTTGGGTAGAACTTACTGTGGCATCAAGGGTGAATATAGCAAAGCAAAATGCTTTAAAATTTATCAGTTCTATAAAATTAAAAGAGCATACATTCTCTAACTCATACAGGGACTAAAAATATGTGTATTATGTATGTTTTGTACATACAAAACCAGTATGTAATTGTACAACCAGCATGTTATTCCCTAAATATTTACTGAAAGTCCAAGGACCTCATTAGTTTGAGATTTTGAATTCTAACCATGAACATCACGACCATGCTGACTCACCTGCCCCTGAGGTGACAAAAGGAAAGGAGCTGACATTGCATGACCCCTGTTCACTCCAGCAAGGGCTGGAACAACACTTATATGGCATTTAAGGCTTCCTCATCCCACATGGGGAGACTTGCTGTCTCACTTTTTAGATGCTGTCAGCTTTACAGCTGATACCTAGCCCAGTATTGCTTGCAGTGAGAGATGATGGACAGCAACAGACAATAATACTAATCCTTTTTGGACAAGCTGCCAGGCTTGACACCCGTCCTGCTTCATTAAATGTGAACATTGCTCACCGGGCAACACTTCTTCTCTGTCTCCAAAGCAGACATATACCAACCTGTGTGAGACATTAATTGGATGGAGAGTTAATTTCTGAACAGGATGGTCCAGAAGACCCTACCAGACTGAGTAAATTTTCCTCAGTCAAAGCTTGTGCAAGGTAAATATTCTTCCTTCACACAGTGGAGTCTCTAGGACATTATACCAATGTAACACAGTAGAACTTAGGGTAAGAAAAGGAGCTCCTGTGATTCTGTGTCACCACTACATGAGTTTATTTCTGGACTTACATGGCACCGCTTATGATGAGGAATTCAGAATTCAGAAATCACCAAAACAAAATAGATCTGATGGAATGTGAAATCCTGACTGGCCTTCACAGGAGAGCTCTGCCCCTCCTGAAACATCCTATCAGCACACCTGCCCCAGAGTTCGGGGCATCGAGTCTGTCCTGTCCTGCTGAGGACTTCCCCAGTGGGTCCAAGGCACAGCCACTTTCTGCTGAGAGCTTGTTCCGGCACCTGAACACACTGAGAAAGCAGATGGGAGGGTCAGAGGCAGACTCTCATTGCTATGTATTGGCCATAACCCATTATCCTTTGTCTCCAGCTGCAGCATCCTTGGTGGCAGTGAACCATAGAATCAATTAGGTTGGAAAAGACCTCTGCGATCATCAAGTCCAACTTTTGACCAGACACCATCCTGTCTACTAGACCATATCACTAAGTACCCTGTCCAGTCTTTCCTTAAACACTTGCAGAGTTGATGACTCCACCACCTTCCTGGGCAGCCCATTCCAATGCTTCACAACCCTTTCTGTGAAGAAATTCCACCTAATGTCCAGCCTGAAACTCCTCTAGCACCACTTGAGGCCATTTCTTCTTGTCCTGTCACTAGTTGCCTTGGAGAAGAGGCTGATCCCCACCTCACTACAACCTCCTTTCAGGTAGTTGTAGAGAGTGACAAGGTCACCCCTGAGCCTCCTTTCCTCCAGAGTAAACAACCAAAGCTCCCTCAGCTGCTCCTTGTAGGACTTACCCTCCAGATCCTTCATCAGCATCTTTGCCCTTCTCTGGACCAGCTCCAGCACCTCCATGTCCCTCCTAAATTGAGATGTCCAGAACTGGACACAGCACTCGAGGTGTGGCCTTACTAGGGCAGAATACAGGGGGACAATCACTGCCCTGGTCCTGCTGGCCACACTATTGCTGATCCAAACCAGGATGCCATTGGCCTTCTTGGCCACCTGGGCACACTGCTGGCTCGTGTTTAGCTGCTGTCAACCAGCACCTCCAGGTCCTTTTCCAATGGGCCAGTTTCCAAGCACTTTTGTCCCAGCCTATAATGCTGCAAGGGGTTGTTGTGGCTGAAATGCAGGACTGGGCACTTGGTCTTGTCCAACCTTGTACAATTGGCCTTGGTCCATTGATCCAGCCTGTCCAGATTCTGCTGCAGAGCCTTCTGAGCCTGCAGTAGATCAACACTCCCATGCAACAGGGAGATAGTTAATATCTCAGCTGCTTTCTTTCACAACACACCTTAAATCTCCTGAAAAATCATTTAATGCGATTCCTTATGTGGCACAATACACTTGCAGGTGACTAACCTGTATTTTTTACTTTTGGAGAGGGAGGTTAGACTAGATGACTTCTGGAGGCCAACTTACATAACTCTATGATTAAAACAATTGTCACATATATATTACAAGAAAATATATGAAGGAACCATCATCTCAACCTATTCTAGTTTAAATAGAAAATCCATGACTGCCTAGGAAAGTTTCTTTTAGGCAAAAAAAATAAACAATGTTAAATTAATGACAGCAGCAGCAGTACCACACTTCGTCTGGGCAGCAGCTAAAGTAACCGTCTTTTCTTAGGTAAGTTTAAGGTATGTAGGTCTGTTCCCTTTAGCCCAACACCCCTGTTTTGCCACAGCCATTTGCTACCTACGGTGGCATGTGAGCCCATCTGACCAAAGACTGGAAGACATGGACTAGACCTCTGTGATGCTCCAGCCCGTGCAAGAAGCAAAGTCCCACCATCCCATGGACTGTGGGACACCAGATTGCTCTCATGCTAAGCACTATCTCAGGGGCACAGGCAGCAGAGCAGGCTGCTGCGGTAGTGAATCTTATCCCTCATAAACCACAAAACACAACAGGAGACTAACTCCAGATAAATCCCTGGAGAGATGCACCAACCTGCTGTGCAGCCTGGGCAATCCCAAACTCCAGAAGAGATTGCAGCTACAGGTGGTCAGAGGCTGGCATTGCCCTCCTCCTTGCCCACTCTTTCTGGGATGACTGGGCCACAGGGCCCTTTGTGGCTCTCCCCACAGTGGTAGGGAAGATGCTTCACTTGGGATATGCTGGAGGATGAGAAGCAGCTGAATGCTCTGGAGGCATTGCACCGCCTGTCTATGCAGAGATGCTGGTGACACAGGGCCTCCTCAGCTGGGAGAGCTTCTCTCAGGGCACCTGATGATTATAAAAGGGAAGCTGAAACAGCTCGGATGTCTGCAGGTTGTTGCAGCAAATTAAACATGATGAAACACAGTAGCCAGTTTTATAGGATCTATTAACTGTACTAGACCTTCATATTGGAATAATTTATTGCTGGATTCTACACAGCCCAGATGAAATTCCAAACATCCTCCAAAAGGTTTTGGTTCTTTGCAAGGGCATTGGCATAGAAGATATATCCAGTCAGATTCAGTAGGAGCTGGAAATTTACTCTGGAGGCTGTCCCAACAGTGTTAAAGGAGCAGCTGTAGCCCTTACTCCTAGTTGTCTTTTCTCATGCTGACATTGCTGGCACACTTGGCAGGAAATGCCAGTCCAAAAGAGTGTTGAGGTTTTGTGGAGACTGTCCAGCAAGTCTTATTCTTTTCAATGAGCATGTGAGAAGTACTCCATGTTTCAAATCGGTCTGATTTACTTCTCACCTAGCAATCTGCTGGAGCAGCACTGGGTGTAGAGAAGAAGACCTCTGGCATACTCATGCTGGTGGAGTCACTGCCTGCTTCATCCAGTGCTGAAGGGTGGCAAATGCACCCCAGGGCTGAGTGCCTGCAGGAGGAAAATGAGGCAATTCAGAAGTTATTCATTGGTGTCTCATTTCAGCGGTTGCAAACAAGAATGCTTGTGCTGCTCCTCATGCTACTCTGCATTGAGGAAGTGCAGGCACTCACCTTTAATGGATGATTGCTCTTGGATAAGTTTGCTAATGGCTGCAGTTATGTCACTCAGGAAAATCATCTTCACGATTTCTGAAAGACCCCATTAACACTGCATTAGAATCCTGATGGCTTTTATTCACTGAATTATTTAATTACTTAAATTTTTTAAACATATCAGAATACCTTCTAAATCAAACGTGACCTCCCAGTCTTCTGTGAGAGAGGCTGACCTTGAGCATGCTTCCTTGGGCTGTTGTAGCCTTGCTTCTCTCTTCACACATGCTCTCCCTGCAGCACTCAGCTTTATACCTTCAGAAAAAGTGTTTTTGAGGGAAGCAGCATGCTAAGTGGTTTTCTTTTTTTGTGATTTATCCAAGTGCCTGTTTGCTCCCACATGCTGTGAGTGGATAATAGCAGTTCTCAATCAAAGTTAAAATTACTAACGCTCTTGTCTGTGAAAAATATAGTGCAGGAAAAAAAAAAAGGTTAATGATGCTGCTATACTACCAAGCTTACTATGGTTTGTCTTATCTTCATCCCTGCATCCTTGTGAGCATTGTTATATTGACTGGCTATTCCGGTCGATCTCTCAGCTGAAACCTAGGAAAGACAATTGTATTTGATATTTTGCTAAAATGGTGAAACTAGTGTAGAAAAAGCCATGTAAACAGAAACGAAAAAACAATGTTTTTTCAGACACTATGCACATCATGCAGTAAACACTCACAATTCAACAGTGTACTGACGGCACAGTGGTTAGCACAGAAAATTACTCCATCCTCCTCCTAAATATATGTTTATAGCAGTAAATTTTGCCTATGTATTCCCTCGTAGCTGAAAGCTGTCAAAATTATTTGGCACAGGATGTTGGAGTAGTTTGAAGAAAAAAAAAAAGGCAACAACAGCAGCCACTCTCACTTCAAGTTATTGACACTTCAGTGTCTGTCTGCAGTCCCATCGTACACAGGTAACATACTATTAATTCTCTTTTTGTATTGTGTTCACTCTAGGGTCTTTTGTGACTAAAGTAATGACTACTTTTCAGTTGTAGTCTGCTACAACCTTTGTCAATGTAAAAGGGCAGAGAGATGATCTTATACGTTCTCAGTCTTCTACTGAACACATTTAATTTATGGGAACTGGAAAATGGGACAGCATTAGAATTTCATATATTCATGTACAAAGTCATTTCAGTTGAGATAGATGAACTCTGATGGATTACATAGTGTCAAATTATATGCTTCAAATTATATAGTGTAGTGATGGAGTGGTTTGACCAAGTCACAATAGGCTCCTTATCTGAAAAGGTCTTATATCAAGCATCTGAAACCACTCTTGGCCACTAAATCAAAATCAGTCTGGTTTGTAGGGGTCATCAACATGCATAGACCACTGCCTAAATTACTCTGTCTGTATGGTGACTAACTCAAATGACTGCTCGCTAGGTAGTCTGGGATCAAGTCACCCTTTATCAGAGAGCCTGGTCTCTGAGAAACTGAAGCCTCCAGCAGATGGATGAAGTTATCTTTACCTCATCCCCACTGAATACTGCTAGTTCCTTGTGGTGCTTTAGAGAATAATTACCAAATTTCAAACTTTATCCTAAAGATATAACTCTGCCCAAAGATTGTCCTCCCCTGTATCTTGGATGTTTTCAGTGTGCCCTGATGTACTCTTCCCTGTGATACATTAAAGCTTTGCTGGAGCATGTTGGCTCCTGTTCTCAGATATGCAGATGCATGAGCTCTTTATATCACTCCATACCTTTTTTCACAGATCTAATACAAAGCTTTCAGCAGATAGTGAAAAGATTTCCATTTCCCCGCAAATTTTGGAAGAATCACTCCAAAATTCCTCAATTCCAGTTTTCCCAAGACTCGATGTTTGCTGGAGTCTTGCTTCAATACAAACCTAAATTCAGAACACCTTAAGCACCAACCTAACATGAAATATGACAGTATTTCCAGAGGTACTTGCTGGGTCTGTTGCCATGCTGAAGATGAGACAGGTATTTAGTTCCCAGTGAATGACCCTTGAGGATTCCCTGCATAGAGCCAGCATAGGTGAGGGCTCAGAGGCCGAATATGTAAGGTGCTGCCCTAAGCCATGGCTCTTTCCCAGAAACCTTGCAATTCTGTGTGTGTTGGCCTTACAAGGCAAAAAGGGAGCTAATTTGATGCATGTGATCGGGCGCCCCTAAGACACTTCTTGCCTTAATTATATTTACATAGGAATAAAAACGAACAGAAGGAAAACTCTGCTCTTATCAGCACAGCTCGACATTCCCAGTGCATTAGCACATTAAATGATCTGGTGACAGAGTAAATAAGATATGAATTACTTTTTAAAAGCTTTTAGAACAAGGTTTAAGATGCTTTCATCTCAAGGGTGACCTGTAATTGTTAATAATTTGCAAAAACAACCCCATCAATGAAAATGAGGGTTTCAATACAATTATCATAAATGCTTCAACTAATCAAGTTATTCAGCACAACTAGATTTAAACATGCCTTTTCATTTTCATCTAAGACCCTATGACAACTGGACTGCCTGTATAACATAACAGCCAGTAGCAAACATCTCTGTGGGAGCCCTCTGCTTTTGCAGAGACAGCAGAGCTTCCCTGCTGAACACAAACATTTTTGGGAGCTCTTAAAAAGCATCCAGCTTAGTAACCCTTCTGGAGGCCCCATGGGCTGAAGCTGGATGTTGTCCAGCTGTGGCAATCACAGAATAGTTTAGTTGGAAAAGCCCTCTAAAATCATCGATTCCAACCATTAACCCAGCACTGCCAAGTCCACCACTAAACCATGTCTCTAAGTGCCACATCTACATGTCTTTTAAATACCTCCAGTGATGGTGATTCTACCACTTCCCCAGGCAGACCACTACAATGCTTGACAACCCTTTCAGTGAAGAAATTGTTCCCAATACCCAATCTAAACTTCCCCTGGTGCAGCTTGAGGCTTATTCCTCTTGTTCTCTAGCTTAGAGACCGACCCACCACCTGGCTACAATTTTCATTCTGGTAGTTGTAGAGAGTGATAAGGTCTCTCCTGAGCCTCCTTTTCTTGAGGCTAAACACCCCCAGCTCCCTCAGCTCCTCTTCATAAGACCTGTGCTCCAGATCCTTCACCAGTTTCATCATACCCTCTCTACACTTTGTGTCACAACAGTGACTTCATTTTGTCTCACCACCTCCCGAGGTGTCACTTGAGCAAAGAGCTGGCAATTTGCTCTGGACATCTGAACAGCAAGTCCACATAGGCAGAAATGGGCCACATCAGGGTACAGCGCTTGTGAGCTGCTGTGGCTGGGTGCGCTGGCAGCAGGGCACACCAGTCCCATTGCATTTGGGTAGGATTTCAACATCTTGATGCGATTTTATGTAGGTTTTATTGCCAGCCTCATTTTATACCCACCAAAGCCAGTGATTTATTTAGTTTAGAACAGCTTTATTCAGAGATGTTTACCCACAGAGTGTCCCAATATGGAGGTGTGGGAAAGGAGATTACTTACAATTTCTTTAAATTTTTTCTCTGCTTATTTTCAGCAGTCCTCTACTGAAAATAACTTGGAGCTGTGCATAAAGGCTGATTATCAAACCTATCTAGGGGATTGAGTCACACAGCTGTGCATCTAAATCTAAACTGGAGACAGTATTTTTGGATTATAGATGGCAAAATGGGAGAGGGAACAGCAGGGTGAGAAACTAAGTGAAAGTGTGACTTTTGCATAGGGCCGTGAGGTTTCATCACCAATGCTGGCATGGAGGGAAGAAGAATCTCCTTGGCCTGAGAAAACCTAACAGCACAAACTGCATCTAGCTCTGTTAAACTCTCCAAGAAGCATGCACTAGGACAGCAGCACCACTCTTAAAAATACAGCGTATTTTGCACCTGAGGAATTCAGAGTTTGACAATTTAATAACTTTGGAAGAAGCTGCAGATGGCGTGCTCGGAAGAGTTTCTGTGACCTGCAGGAGCAGGAGTTGAGACCCAGAGTTGACACAGTTTCCCGATTAAGCTGAAACCAATACAATAGAGCTACCTTTTCTCCCCAAGACCCAGCCTTATAGCTTTGCCAGATTATTTTGACATGTTTTCCACACACTGAGGATTTTAGCTTTACTTGTAATAATACCTTTTAGCTTGGAAACATTGTTGATCGCAGACTCCTTCCAGAAATGAAAAGGGGAAAAAAAAAGGAAAAAAAAGAATTCATTTCCAGACACTTGAGAATAGAGGAATTGTTCAGGTGCTGAAGCCAAGGCAAAGTATTAGATGATAAGTAGGAGGCTCAAATGTTAAAAATCTCAAGGTAGGAAGATAACAATTTGAACAGGCCTTCTCTCCTCCAATACTACTGGGAAAGGATGATATTACGGTGAACCTCGTTAAAATGGAATATTCCCTACAGAGAATAATTGATGCTAGTACTACTGTCAAACTGAAGATCTGAAAGGGACTAATTACGTTTTCTACTAGGAATAACTTTCCATTTTGTCACTGCTTCCATACCTGAGTAATCCCATTAATCTCAAACATCTGAATCTCAGATCCTCTGCTTAATTTCTGCTGGGAATTGAGGGAAATAGCAAAACCAGTACTGCCAGAGCTACAGTAGCTGAAATTGATGCCCTTAAATCAGAAGAACATGTCAAAACATTCCAGGTAGTCTTTAATAACTCCTTTTAAGAAGCATGCAGATATAAGAGAGTAAGCGTACAGAAAGCAGGGTGTCTCATGGGGGGTGCTGGTTTGGCCATTCACGGCTGTGACAGGGAGCGAGGGATCCTATCCCCACAGCCCTGCGTGGGGTGTTGGGAACATGCATAGGGCTACAAATGCGAGCTAAGAGGGAGGATGGTTCTGCTTGTTAGTGGGAAATTTCTCTCCCCTTCGGTCTCACCGTCATTAGCTCTTGACAGGGCAATGAGTTCTTCGTCCAGCTTCCATATGGCTTCTGTAGAGGTTTCTGTTTGGTCTTGACTTCTAGACTAAAGGGAAGCAGTTACCTACTTCCCTTGAGTGTCAGCCTGTTAAGTCTAGGCTGTTAGAGAGAGCACACCAAGAGAAAGCATCACCTATTGTTTCAAGAGAAAGCACTGGCAAGAAATGGAGGGGATTAGCACATCATCTACACAACTACAACAGTTTTGAAGTGTTCCAGGGATATTCCCTACCTCAGTGTTTGTTCTGTTCCTGAGTGCTTCTTTATGGTGGTGTGCATATTCCCCATATTGCAAAGAATGAGAGAGATGTGGGATGAATAGTTTTTAGACAACATGCTACACTGCAAGAACTTTGTCAGATGATTTAACATTGGCAAAGAGAAGATAAGCGTAATCGCTGAGAGCTGGGATGGAGGATATTGAACCACATTTTATTGGTTTATTATTATTATTATTCCACAATAAAGTGGAAGTTTTGGCAGCCTCTCTGAAGAGCATGAAGATGCCACTTACGTGATGCTATAAAAATACAGGAGCCAAGTCCTGCATTTGCCATGCTGGAAGGGACCTTAAGAGATTATGTGACCTGGCTCCTCTGTGAAGTAGGATTAGCAAGGGCACCACTCATCTGGGAGTGCAGCCTGTGTCTCCTCTTACCCAGGGCTGCATTTTCAGGACCAGTTCCCTCCCCCTGCGTATGAGTGGTTCTGCTGCTTGCCTGCAAGCAGTGACCAGGTGCAACAGAACTAAGGAAAAATTGAAAAAAAGCTCACTTGAGGAATACTGAGGTGGTTGAAAGTCTCACCAAAGTCAGAATTCTGGAAAGGCTGAAGAAAATCAGAACTGAGTTCCCTGCCCTCTATCTGAACACCCTGGAAAGACATTGCTTTGAGAAACCCCAAATATAGAAGAACCAGTGGGCTGGTACAACTAAAGTTCACCAGTAGGACTCCTCCCTCAACCAAACCCAGACCCTTTCCTTTGTGTAGTCTCAGAAGGAGTATATATAACAATAATACTTTCTACTTAATGAAGTAGGTTTGTTTTTTTTAAAATAGCTGATGCTAAATATATCTTACTTATGAGGACGTTAACAGAGTTTGCAGGTGCAGGAGAACAGAGCTCACATTTGATCCCCATCAGCACCATAAGAAATGGTTTTCTCCTTAGCTAGGTTATGTTTGGAACATGAAATGTCATAAAAATGCAAGGGTTTTTTTGGGTCATAAGAAGTATTTATTTTTGCCTGAATGACATTGATTTAGAAAAGAGTTTACAGGTGAAGGTATAGAGATCTCTACATGATCAGAGGCACTCCAGTTCTTTCCAAAGGTGCTGACTATATCCACGTCCATGTGTGAATTCGGTGTGAAAGATAACGTAACTGGGGATAAATGCTACCACAAAAAGGTTAACACTGGAGGGTAATTGGAAGTAGGTGATGCATCAACATATCTGCCCAAACTGATGATGAAGGATCAAAAATGTCCTCGAAATGGCTTCAAAAAAAGCTTATGCCTAAGAAGCAGACGAAATCAGCAGTTTGGGGCACTATTTTGTAGCACATCTGACAGACATGGAATAGAAATTGAATACAAATTTTGAGGGACCAGAGGAATTAGGTAAAGAGACACCATTTTGGAGACCTACTAATAGTCAGTTGTCCAGAGACATTTCTGAAGGCAACATTGATTCTGTAAGAAGCACTGACCAGCTAGATCTCTCTGTGTTGACACTTCAGTGCGGGAATGCAAGGAGCCACCAAGGAATTTTTGTCTATTTAGCTCCACTGTTAGGCACTGTTAGGATGTGACATTTATCAGTGGGCATAGCTTGCTGATGATTTTCTTACCATCATCTGGCTGGCAATCACTGGCCAAGGTCTACTTTCATATGTATTGTATACTTTAAGCTCCTTTCAACCCCATAACATGCTGTTTCCTGCCCCCCCACACTCTATCTGCCAAAAAACCTTCCAGCAAAAGTGAAAATTCCCACTGATTGATTTTCAGAATAATTTTCATGATCACGCAGTATTGCTCAGCCTTGTATTACACACAGTTTGAACCACTCATGCAGGATTTCATGCCTCATGAAACAGCTTAAAGTATTCTATCTAAAAGGGCCCAAAATTAGATCAGAGTTGGTACTGCTGGAGTAGATAGTGAAATTGTTTAAAGGCTGTTACATTAAAAGTTCCATTAAGATATATGTTGTTGAATCAACAATGTAAAAACATTATGCTTAAAATACTAAAAATAAAATTACTACCATGCTTTGCCTGCTGAAGACAATACTTTAAAAATTTATTTTATAAGTCAGTTTCAGAGAGAAAACATATTTTTCTGAAAATAGACCATGGTATCAACAGTATCATGAATTAAATACACAGAGAAGAGAGGTATTACATGCACCCAAAATATAATTTCTGAAAGAAATATTTTTTTTTCTCCCCTTCTGAATAATGCCTATTGTGTGCCTGGTTAGGAAACAATAGCTTGGTTATGAAATAATGGAAATTTTATCCATGAAAATGCCACCCTCACATTAAAATCATCACACAGCTCAGAGCGTGCTGTCTGCAAGCTTCTTGGCTATAAATGTATCAGTAAATAAGGACTATTTTACTGTGGCTCTTAACATTAGGTGAATGTCTTATTCAATGGTTGCACTAGAATGTGCTATACACGAAAAAGAGAAGATTGAATTAAGGTGCACTGTAAAAATTAAACTAGAAGATGAGATAAATGCTCACCTCCTCATTTTTAACCTACTTTTACATTTTACGTTCTAAGTTCTAGCTCCACAGTCTGCAGTAACAGCCCTACT